CACCTGTGCCATTCGCTCTCCCTTCCCTGACCCAGCCTCACCTGCTACCCTCCAGGATGGTCTGTTCTAGCACCTGCTACCGGGCGGAGACGGACACGGGAAAGGAGCCGTGGGGGCTGTATCGAGTGCACCACTTCACCAAGGTTGGTATAGCCTGGGGCAGGGGGTCACCCCAACAGCCCGGGGCCTCCTGACCCCTGTGCCCCCTGCCCTGCCCCAGGTGGAGATGTTTGGGGTGACAGGCCCGGGGCTAGAGCAGAGTACGCAGCTGCTGGAGGAGTTCCTGTCCCTTCAGATGGAGATCTTAAAGGAGCTGGGCTTGCACTTCCGGTGTGTGGGGGGGAGGGGTGGTGGGCTTGCACTTCCGGAGTGGAGGGGGGTGGGCTTGCACTTCAGGAGTGGAGAGGGGCAAGGGGGTGGTGGTGGTCGGCTTGCACTTCCGGAGTGGAGTGGAGGGGGCGAGGGAGTGGTGGTGGTCGGCTTGCACTTCCGGTGTGGAGATGGGCGAGGGAGTGGTGGTGGTCGGCTTGCACTTCCGGTGTGGAGAGGGGCGAGGGAGTGGTGGTGGTCGGCTTGCACTTCAGGAGTGGAGAGGGGAGGGGGGGCGATGGTGGTCGGCTTGCACTGCCGGTGTGGAGAGGGGCGAGGGGGTGGTGGTGGTCGGCTTGCACTTCCGGTGTGGAGTCAAGAGGGCACGGCTGGGTACTGGCTGAGGGAAGCTATTCCTTCTCATCTTGAACTTCATCACCATCCTCTTCTTCTTTGCCCCTTTTTTTCTGTATTGGAATTATGGGATTGGTTGCTGTAACGCAAACCTAAAATAACAGAAGCCTAAGCACTCCAGGACATTCCAGTGTTGGGGACCCAGGCCCCTTCCTTCTCGCTGCCCCTGTCCCTAGGGTGTTGCCTTCATCCCAGGGCCCAAGATGGCTTTTAACCATCCAGTGCGAAGGTGTGGAGGGGGGAGACACACCCTTCCATGAAGGGTACGACCCAGACATTGTAAGCCCTTTTCTCTATCAGCCACACAGCTTTCAGAGATACTGAGAGAGGCGGGCTTTTTTCTGTGTGACCCATTACAAAAAACGGCGCTATTATCAGAGGCGAGGACGGACATGGTGAAGGGCCAGGCAACTCTGCCACCTGCCCTCCCCCTTCTTCCTCGTCTCCCATCAGCTCCTTTCCCCTCCACTTCCTTGTCCACCTGCTGTCCCACCACCCGCTCTGTCCCAGCCTCTTCCCCTTCGCTACTGTCATTTCCTCCTTGTTTACCTACGTTTTCCTCTTTTTCCACCCGGTCCTCTTGATCACCTCCATTTCCGCCCCTGACTCCTCCCTCTCCACCTCCCCCTTCACCCTTCTTCCGCTCACCATCGCCACGTCTCCCTCCTTGGCCGCAGGGTCCTGGACATGCCCACCCAGGAACTGGGCCTTCCCGCCTACCGCAAGTTTGATATTGAGGCCTGGATGCCAGGCCGCGGCCGCTTTGGAGAGGTGAGCCCCTGCTGCAGGAGGATACAGGGCCAGGAGAGAGGGTGGGATGGCCCCACACAGCTGATCCTCTAAGCCCGCTCCCCAGGTCACCAGTGCGTCCAACTGCACGGACTTCCAGAGCCGCCGCCTCCACATCCTGTTCCACACGGACGACGGGGAGCTGCGGTTCGCCCACACCGTGAGGGCCCGAGCCTCTTCTCCTCTGTCCCCGAAGGCTTCCACTTCTCTAGACCCGCCCCTCAACCCCTCCGTGTGGCCAAGCGGGCTGCAGCTCAGTCCTGGAGTCTATTCCTGAGCCCTGTCCTGAGCCCCCTCCTGAGCCCAGCCCTGAGCCCCCTCCTGAGCCCCTTCCTGAGCCCAGCCCTGAGCCCCCTCCTGAGCCCAGCCCTAAGCCCCTTTCTGAACCC